GAAAAGAGTGTGGACAACGGGGCTTCATTCTGGGGAACTCATGTTAAATGTGCTTCAGAATTATCTGCCTAAAATATGATAGCCTGCCTACCTACCTACCAATTGCCCTCAAGCTGACTCCAACTCATGGCGACCCCATGTGTGTCAGAGTAGAGCTGTGCTCCATAGGGTTTTCAATGGCTGTTTTTTTTTTTAGAAATAGATTGCCAGTCCTTTCTTCCAAGGCACCACTGAGTAGATTCAAACTTCCAACCTTTTGGTTAGCAGCCAAGTGCATTAACAGTTAGTACCACCCAGGAACTCCAAAACATGGAAGAGGGGGTACTTATATGTCGGCTCCTGTCCCCCTCTGAGCAAGAGTTTTTCCATGGCAGCAACAGGGAAGCAGTGAGGCAGAAAGTGAACAATACCTGGTGCAGATCAAGTGACGGTCTATTAGGATACTGCTTCATACAGCTGGTTGCTGCAGCAATGACGGGCAAAAGAATGGGCTTACAAGATGGAAGGTGGAGTACAATAGATACCCAATACAAGCATTAACCTTGGGTTTTACTGTTTGTCAATTCTAAAAGATTCCATAACAATTATAGGACAAAATGGTATTTAACCAGCAAAGCTTCCATTTAAAAAAAAAGTTCTTTCATTTCTTTAAAGTTTATTGCTCGCACACATTTAAAGACTGTGCATAAAAATCAAGCATTAAGCTCCTGCAAACATAATTATTGGTAACAGCATTCCAGCACTTATAGATACTTCTGAATTTTGATGAATAGTGTTTTTTTTTTCCATGGATTTCAGTAGTGTATTAAGGAGAAAAAAAAAAATCACTTTCCTGTTAATATATTTTCAAAACCAAGCGATTTTGATTAATTCCCAGGAGGCAAGTTCTACGTAAGCTACAAATACTGGGCTGCTTCTTGACATGTTTCATTCTTTTTGCAGTTCCTGTAATAAATTGGAAGTCTACTCTCCCTGAATATTTTCATTTACGTCAGTTCTGAGTTGCTTCTGGAGACCATTGCAGCAAACACTTTTTGCTTTTCCTCAGTTACAAGAAATAGATGAGAGATGTGGATAGCATGATTAATGCTGATGATCAAGAATGTAAGTTGATTAAACATGATGAAGTGTCCAAACTGAGGCAGCAGAAAATTTTGATCTACATTTGAGCAAATATGAACTCAACAAAAATTCAATGTCCTTTTTAGGATGCTACAAGTAAAGCATGCAAGTCTATTGATATGATTTTGGCTGTGATCTAAATTGATTCATAAAGAAAAACTTTTTTAAAATAAACTTTTAAAAAAAATTTTGAGTAATTTTAAAAGTACAAAATTTGCAAAGATAGTGTCGTTCCTAGTATCCTTCACCCAAACTAAGAAACCAACATTTGTGCATTACTATTAACTAAACCCCAGACTTTGTTTGGATTTCAGAAGCTTTTCCATTAATATCCTCTTTCTGTTCCAGGACCCAATCCATGTACCACATTGCATTTAGTTGTCATGTTTCCTCTGGATTGAGAGTTTCTCAGCTTTCCTTATTTTTTATGACCTTGACAATTTTGAGGACTACTGCTCAGCTATGTAATATTCTTCAATTTGGGTTTGAAGGATGTTTTTCTCATGATTAGTTAGCCTGAGGGTATGGATTTTCAGAAAGAATAGCACAGAGACGGAGCTGTCCTTCTCATCATATCATATCAAGGGGTGCATACAAGCGGTGCATAATATCCACATGACTTCACATTGATCATGTTAACCTTCATCATTTGGTTAAGGTGATATTTGCCAAGTTTTTTTTTTTTTTTTTCATGGCAAAGTTACTATTTTTCAGATCTGGACACTTTAAAAAAATATAAAAGCTATATCATTGCCACAGAAGAGAATTTTACTGTTATGTTAATGAAACAAAACTATGGAGATGTAGAGCATTTTGCTGTGTTTGCGTTTTAAAAGAAGTAAATTTGAACCATTCAACTAAGGGAATAAAAAACAGATTTTCAAAAATCACTATTCTTTGGAAATTATCAAGCATATATTACAGAACATTTTTACTGCGTAATGGTTAAGAGTCATTCTCTTCAGATGTCATTTCCAGGTCCTTTGTCGTGTAACTTTAGGGATATTATTTCACTCTCCGTGCCTCAGTTTCTTTATTTATAATCTGAAGATAACAATGATATCTACTTCACAGAGTTCTTTTGAAGATTGAATTAGTCAATATTTGTAAACTTCTTGAAAAGTAACTGGTACTTAGCACTTAACACGTACTCTGCATCTTCGTGTGGGTGCAGAGAGGTTTTGTAACTTATGCATGGTATGTCGCAATTAAGACAGGAAGTGGTATGGTTTATACTTGTCCAGAATTTTGTAAGCTCATATAGGTTGTCAGCTACTATCTTTGTTCAATAAAAAAGCATGTTTTCAGTGACCTACTAAAGTTTGTTCCATCGACAGAAGTTATGCGAGCATAAAAAGAATCTCTTTATGCTTCTCGGACTTTTATAAACTTTATAAAATGAGCATGGGTTACATTTACAATTAAAAAGCAAAATAATACATTTTTCAAATTTTAAAGAACAGTTCTTGTATTTCTGGGTCAGTTTCCCAGCAAACTCAAGAAAAAGAGTGATAAAAGGAGTAACCACATAAACTCTCAATTATTCATGAGCTAACCCTGTATTTTGTATACTTTAGATTATTTCTTATTTCCTACTCCTTAATACAAACTTTGAGGAGTCCCTGGGTGCTGCAAATGGTTAAGCTCTTGATGACTAGCTGAAAGGTTGGCCATTCGAACCCACGAACCCACGAAACCACGCAGAGGTGACTGAGAAGACAGGCCTAGCAATCTGCTTCTGAAAGTTTGACCAACAGCAACCATACAAATTTTAATCGCCCTTGACTTCCTTGGCCTTTCTCTTAGGATCATGCTGGTAAAAACTGAAGTATTTTTAAAGGCAGTCATTTTATAAATCTTTTCCAATAAATAAGATAGAGAGTCTTTAATTCTAACTCCCTTTTTACAGGTGAAGTAATTGAAATTAAAACTACAAAATAAATCAATGACAGATCTCAGCAGTTTAAAAAAATAGGTACATTCAGATTTCCTAGTAGAGTACAGACACACCTTCCTTTTAAAAAGCCTAATGCAGAAAATTTTAAATGTGAAAGGAAAAATGGGAGAGTGTACCTTTCCATTACCCCTTTGTTCCTTCATAAAAGAATGCGTAATAAGTTGAGTTTCTGTTCAGGCAATGTTGGGAAAAGCTATTTCTATTTTATTTATTTATTTAACAAACGTTTATAAGGTGCTTAATCCGTGCCGGCTCTTTACAATATTGACTCATTTCTCATAACAAACTTGGGGTAGGAAGAGGTTTAACAGCTTGCCTATGATACACGGCAACTGAAAGCAGGCGGTGTCTTTAGACACCTGGCAGCTGGCTAAGGTGCACATGATCCTCCCACCCGCTGAGCTGGGCGGCCTAGAACTGACCAGGAACACTGGCTTCCAGGGCAGAGGCCATTCCTTTCTCATCTCCCTCTCCCTAGCATATACCATGCCTCCCAGAGGTCTTAATCCAGTGGGGAGAATTACACTTAAACCCTCTAAAATGTACTGTTGAATCAAAGGAAGTTCTCTTAAACTTCTGGCGAAAAAGTGGTAAAGACGTCAGGTTAAAAGACTTTGAAACCTCTAATCAAGAAACAGAGGCATACACCATTGTTTGTCTCTAGAAAAACCAAGACTGAACACCAGAAAGTCCTGTAATAAATGGAATGGGGTTTTTAATGTGTGATTTGGTGTTTCATATTTCATCTGTACACATTCGTTTGCTGCTTAAAGAGTAAGGGCGCTACACACAGCAGGTACCCACCAAGCACCCATGGACTAGTCTGTCCAAGGGCAGAACCAGAAAATAAGTCCTCTGCAGCTTCAGAGTGACCCTAGCCTGTACCTCATAGGTCAAACCTAAACCCCTCACACATGGAAAAGGTGATACTCAGGGAATTTTGGAAGTTCCAACATTTCAGAGGGAAGAAACAAGCTATGCAGGAAATGAAAGAAGAGATCATGTTACTGCCCGTACTTTCATTGACATTAGCACTGGATTCAACTGACCCATGTTTTCAACCAGATGAAAATGAAAACGAGGTATAAGTGGATATGCAGCATTTGAGGATACACAACAGAAGGGAGAAGTCAAACATTCTTCCCTGGAGTTTGAGATGACAGCTCTATTTTTGACAGAGAACGTTCACTTGAGAAGTATTCACCTGAGAATATACAAAACCGAAAATCAAGTAGATGATAAAACCCAAGCCAAACCCATGCCTTGAATCAATTCCCACTCATAATGATCCTCTAGGGCAGAGTAGAACTACCCCATAGGGTTTCCAAGGCTGTAAGTTTTTACAGAAGCAGACTGTCACATCTTTCTCCCGTGGAGCCAGCTGCTGGTGGATTTGAACTTCCAACCTTTTGGTTAGCAGCCCAGCGCTTTAACCACTGCACCACCAGGGCTCCTCAGAGAGTAGGTGAGGGAAATCACCTCTCTTCCCAACCACCGTCACCAGGTAATTCCCCCAGTTCTGATTACTAAAGAGACATAACTCTCTCCCTCTAAAGATGTCTTTCTGTCCCTGTCGTGTTCTGTCCCTGGTGTTTTCGCCACTTCCTGCCCAGAGCACAGGGGTTATTCGGCGCCCACGGCCCCCTAACAAAACCAGCGCAGCCTAAGACCCTCTCCCGTTTTTGGGGTGTGAGGAAGAAAGAGATTGCAGGAGTTACTCAGGAGGGTGAGGCGGGGGCAGCAACCGGTGGGTCAGCCACCCCACTCCACCCCAGGAGGCAGGGGGCGGGGAGGGTGCCTTCCTTCCGGAATCAGAGAACAAAGCAAGAAATCCAGGGATTTCCCTGGCCCAAAGACACCTGACTTTGCAGCCCAGAGCATGGATAAAAGCGATTCGCGGGGCTCGGAGCCGCAGAGCCAGGGTCACAGACAGGCAGCCCTCCTTGCGCCACTTTCTCGCTCCAGGCACAGCCGCCCCGACACTCCGAGCCGAGCACCATGGCCCGCACCGCGCTCCCCGCCCCTGCTCGCCTCCTCCGGGCGGCGCTGCTTCTCCTGCTCCTGGTCGCCGCCGGCCGGCTCGCAGCAGGTGAACCTCGGCGGGACCCCGCGGCAGCTAGGGGCGGGTGGGCGCCCGTGCCAGGAGACAACTCCGCTAACCCAGTCTCTCTTCTCTCCCAGGGGCGCCGGTGGTCTCTGAACTGCGCTGCCAGTGCGTGAAGACCGTGCAGGGAATCCCGCTCAAGAACATCGAACGTGTGAAAGTGATGTCCCCGGGACCCCACTGCGCTCAAACTGAAGTCATGTAAGTCTGCTGCTGCCGCCATCCTGTCACCCCAACCCTCCAATGCTCCCCGCGCTGACTGCGCAGCCCCACCGCCCGTCTCACGCGGATTCTCCTTCTCTCTGCAGAGCCACTCTCAAGAATGGGCAGGATGCTTGTCTCGATCCCGCAGCCCCCATGGTTAAAAGAATCATCCAAAAGATCCTGAATAGGTGAGTTGTAGGTTTTGATTTACAACATGCTACTAGAGTCATTGGTCACATCACAGATAGGAGCATCTACTCCTGAAAATTGTATCATAGAAACGCAGGAGTTTGCTAAGGACTGAATATTCATTATTTTTTTCACAATTAAATTTGTCACTGAGATCATTAATCTGCTCTGGTTTCCAGTGACTTCTATCCCCACTTCCCACCCTAATCTCTTTCAAATTAATGTGAATAGAAGTGCTTTCATTAAAATTGTCATTGATGTTGGATGATTATGCCAAAAATCTTTCCACCTGTTAAAAAGCAAAGTTGTCTTTTTCCCTTCCCCCATTTTCTTCTGGACTTCAGACCTGCATAGTGGAACCGTGGTGTTCTGCAACATAGGTCCTGAAGCTTAGTGGCGAAGAGCAGGGAACTTTGCAGTGACATTGCCTTGGTGCAAATCTGAGTTCCATCACCTATTACCTGGGTAATCCTGGGAAAATTAGTTGATTTATTTGAGTCAGAAAAATAATAGCAGCTACTTCATGGGGTTTATCTGAGACTTAAATGAAGCTGGTGAGACAATGAGAGAACAATACATTTTGGCTGTTGGTAGCAAATAATACAGCGGAGATCTCCACCCCCACCCCATTCCCAAACAAAGAGCATCTAAGATCCTAAATGTCTCTGCCACACAGGGCCATGGTTCCAAGCAGTAGCCACTTGTTGCCAGGCTGTGGGGAAACTCTGCATTAGGAGAATTCTGGGAGCCTCAGGGGCAGGGCAGGGGAAGAGGGCTGTGCTATCAGCTTTCCTGAGCAGCTACTGAGGACAACCATTTTTCTCATTATAGTGGCAGTTCCAACTGACCTTGGGGGAAGGAGGAAGCTTACTGGTGACTGTTCTGGAAGGAGACCCTGCACTTACAGGAACTGAAGAGGAAAAAGAGAAATAGTCAGCTCCTCAAGACACCTGGACTAGGTTTATGTCGCAGAGTCTCTTAGGGCAGTTCTTTTATTTATTTATTTATTTATTTATGTTCAAAGTGTCTGTTAATATGTTACATGTAAAATAATTACAGTTGTGGCTGAATCTACTTACACACTTTACCGTTACTTTTATTGCTTGCTTTATGTCAACTCAAAGTTGACTGAGTCTTATTTAATTTGAAAGTAAAAGGTTTTGAATGTTCTCTAGTTGTTAATATTTCTGGGGAGCTCACAACATGGCAGCCACTGTGATAGAGGCCTGGAGCAAATAGTCAAATCATTGTTAGGGTACGGAGATGTGTGTGTACAACTATTTTCTATTTAGAAGGTCATTTGTTATTTATTGAAACCTTTTACAATATGTGGTTAACATTTCTTATGTTGAAGCTTTAAGAACTACTATGTTCTAGATACTTCTTGGACATTTTATGTCTTCTTTGTAAGGTGCAATGCCTTGTTTAGTGTTAATTATGCATTGTTTATGTCATAAATATTTATCGATGTTTTTACAAATAACATGAAAATAAAGTATTTCAAAATAAACTTTGTTTCATTTGTTGAGGGGAAAAAAAAAAAGAAGGCTACCTCTACTGAATAATTTGATGAACTGCATCAATGTTTCTCAACTTTTTCCCCCCATTGGGCATTTATTGCTACACAGATAAACTGAACTGTAAATGATTCCTGATTTCATCTGGTGATAGCTGTCACTCCCCTGGGTTCTCCTCTATTCAAGAATTTGCTTTTCCAAACTGTGGGCTGCCACCTGCATGAAAGTCACTGCCATGTCTTGCTGTTTTTTACAAGGGGCTCCTTGCTATTTTGCTACTCAGGTGTAGATAGATAGATAGATAGACAGGTAGATAGATAGATAGATAGATACAAAAACAAAAAAACCAAACACGTTGCCGTCAAGTCAATAGATAGATACTATCAAGTCAACCTTGACTCATGGCAACCTTGGGTACAACAGATGAAACGTTGCTGGGTCTTATGTCATCCTCACAATTGCCAGCATTTTTGAGTTCACAGTTGTGACTATTGTGCCAATCCATCTCATCAAGGGTCTCACCAAACATAGTGTCCTCCTCTAGCAATTGATTGATCTCTCCTGAAGACAAGGTCAAAGCAAGCAAGTCAAACAATGCTCTGTAATGATCAGTAAGGTTTTCATTGGCTAATTTTTGGAAGTAGATTGCCAGGCCTTTCTTACTAGTCTGTCTTAGTCTGAAAGCTCAGTTGAAACCTACCTACCATGAATGAACCTGCTGATGTCTGAAATACTGGTGACATAGCTTCCAACATCATAGCAACAGGAAAGCCACCACAGTACAACAAACTGATAGACGGGTGGTGGTACTCAAGTTTATCTCTTTAAAAGCATATACGTTCTTATAGCTATTTTAGCAAGGGCTCTTAATTGCTTTGCTAAAGGAGTTTGCAAACTATTATTGACAATTTTATGAAGTTGGCCAGGAAATGGTGGATTTTTCTTCAAAACTCAAATCACTTGTGTCTTCAGTAGAAGCAGGAAGAGTGACTGAATACTTCACCTATCCAATTAAGATTTGGGTGCTATTTTCCGACCTTCATATATAAGTAACTACTACTAAGTTTAGTGTTATTCCAGTCCTTTTTACCGGTTTATCAGATATAATGGTTTTAAGATTTGACTGCAGCATTTTCCACCCCTCTTAGTGCAATTTTTATGGAACCTGATAGGTTGTTTAGCCTAAGAAAGTCCTCTGGGTAGCTTGGTAATCTAATGCTGCCCCAGGTAACAGCAGCACACCCAGCTTCCAAGACAAACACAAATGTTTTGATGTAAAGGGAGGAAAGATTCAATAGACTAAAAAAGACCACTCTCCAACCCTGAGAAGGAGAAATGTTTGCGCACGTGTGGGGTGTATGCTTGTCTCTGATTCAGAAATTATTCCAGAAATCATGAGCCCTAGGTAAAAGCCTCCAGCAGGGTAAAAGAGTAGGCTTAGCAGCCTGAGTGCTTGAGATCAAGTTCTAGCTTGTCCCAAGTAGCTGGGTAAATAAGAACCCTAAGTAAGTGGTTAAGAGCTTGGCTGCTAACCAAAAGGTCGGAAGTTCAAATCTACCAGCTGCTCCTTGGAAACCCTATGGGGCAGTTCTACTCTGTCCTACAGGGTTGCTATGAGTCAGAATCGACTCAAGACGGCAAAGGGTTTGGTTTTTGGGTTTAAATAACAAGAAACAATCTTTGTGAGCCTTTTCTTGCACATAAAAAATTAAAAATAATAAGCTCCTAATTCCAAGATTATTTGTTAGTTATGAATGAGATGGAATTTTTGAACTGTGCATAAATGCAAACCATTCTGGGAGTTTCATAAATGCCAGCACTTACTCCATAACCTCAAGTCAAGTACATTAAAAAAGTGTTTACAAGTAGGACCCCAAAGGCTCAATAAAGCCACACCCTCACGTCTGAGACCAGTCATTACCCTCAAACATTGTCTGCAGTTGCTGCACTGTCCACTTATCTCTTATCGCGGAATACGAAGCACAAAAAAGGACAAGGGAGATGCTTTTGTTCATATATTGGTTAAAGACTGTTACGGACTGGATTGTGTCCCCTTCAAAAGACATGTTGATGTCCTAGCCCCTGTACCTGTGAATGTGACCTTTTTTGGGGGAAATGAAGTTTTTCGTTGAAGATATTATCAGTTAAGTCATACTGGAGTAGGGTGAGTGCTAGTCCTAATCCCTTCTGAGTGGTGTCTTATAAAAGGGGAGAACAGACACATTGGGGAAAGACAGCTGCCATGTGACTAGACAGGTAGATGCACCTATAAATAGCAAAGAAACACCAAGGATTGCCAGCAGCCCCCAGAAACCAGGAGAGGCATGAGACAGTTCCTCTCTCAAAGCCCTCTGAAGGAACTGATATGGCTGATACTCTGATTTGAACTTCTAGCCTCCAGAAGTGTGAGATAATACACTTCTGTTCTTTAAAGCCATCCACTTACGGTGTTTTGTTATGGCAGCCCTAGGAAACCAAGACGAAGACATAGGTTTCAAAGAATCATATTGATTTAGGAGTAAATTACAAAGTTATCATTTGTTGACTGTATGAAATTGAGCAAGTTTCTTGACTCCATGAAACCTCATTTCCCCTACTATGCTATTGTTGTTGTTAGGTGCCATCCTGTCTGTACAGACTCTTAGCTACCACGTGTACAAAAGAACAAAACACTGCATGGCCCTGCACCATCTTCACAATCACTGCTATGTTTTAGCTCATTATTGCAGCCACTGTGTCTGTTCATCTCCTTGAGGGTCTTTCTCTTTTTTGCTGGCCCTCTACTTTACCAAGCATAATGTCCTTCTCCAGGGACTGCTCCCCCTTGATTACATGTCCAAAGTACTTGACACGACGTCTCGCCATCCTCACTCCTAAGGAGCCTTCTGACTATACTCCTTCCCAGACAGATATCTTCGTTCTTCTGGAAGTCCATAGTGTATTCAATAGCCTTTGCCAGCACCATAATCCAAAGGCATCAGTTCTTCTTCAGTCTTCCTTACTCATTGTCCAGCTTTCGCTTGCATATGAGGCAGTTGAAAATACCACGGCTTGGGTCAGGTGCACCTTAGTCCTCAAAGTGACATGTTTGCTTTTTAACACTGGAAAAAGGTCTTCTGCAGCAGATTTGCCCAATGCAATGTGTCATTCGATTTCTTGACTGCTGCTTCCATGGGCATTGATTGTGGACTCAAATAAAATGAAATCCTTGACAACTTCAATCTTTTCTCTGTTTCTCATGATGTTGCTTATTTATCCAGTTGTGAGGATTTTTGTTTTCTTTATGATGAGGTATAGTCCATACTGAAGGCTGTAGTCATTGTTTGATCTTCGTCAGTAATTGCTTCAAGTTCTCTTCACTGTCAGCAAGCAAGGCTGTGTCATCTACATATCACAGGTTTTAATGAGTCTTCCTCTAATCCTGATGCTGCGTTCTTTTTCATATAGTGCAGCTTCTCAAGTTATATGCTCAGCATACAGATGGAATAAGTATGGTGAAAGGATACAACCCTGAAGCACATCTTTCCCATTTTAAACTACGCAGTATCCTCTTGTTCTTCTTGCATGACTGCTTCTTGGTCTGTGTACAGGTTCCACGTGAGCACAATTAAATGTTCTGGAATTCTCATTCTTTGCAATATTATTCTTAATTTGTTATGATCCACACAGCTGAATGTCTTTACATAGTCAATAAAACACAGGTAAACATCTTTCTGGTATTCTCTGCTTTCAGCCAAGATCCACTTGACATCAGCAGTGATATCGCTTGCTCCAAGTCCTCTTCTGAATCAGGCTTGAGTTTCTGGCAGTTCTCTGTCGATGTACTGCTGCAACCGTTTTTGAATTATTTTCAGAAGGATTATACTTGTGTGTGATATTAATGATATTGTTCAATAATTTCCACATTCTTTTGAATCACCTTTCTTTGGAATGGGTACAAATATGGATCTCTTCCAGTCGGTTGGACAGGTAGCCATCTTCTAAATTTCTTGACATAGATAAGTGAGCGCTTCCAGTGTTGCATTTGGTTTTTGAAACAACTCAACTCGTATTCCATCAATTTCTGGAGGCTTGTTTTTCGCCAATGGCTTTAGTGCATTTTTTTCCGTCAATACCATTTGCTCCTGATCATATGCCACCTCCTGAAATGGTTGAACACCAACCAGTTGTTTTTGGTGCACTGGCTGTGTATTCCTTCCATCTTCCTTTGATGCTTCCTCCCTTGTTCAATACTATAGAATGAGGATAATAATATAACATGCCTTCAGAAGTTGTTACAAGGATTAAGTATGATTATTCAGATAACATAATTAGCATGGCACCTGGAAACTATTGATGGTTGCAGAAATCTGGATCTTGCCATCTGTCTTCAGGTTAACTCCAAGGACATTGTCTCAGTAGTAGATCCAGTGGATGTATATAGTGTAGTTTTCATACCAAATTGCCTCAAGATTTCTGAAGTGAAAAGCAGGGGCCCTGGTGGCACGGTGGTTAAGAGCTCAGCTGCTCACCAAAAGGCCAGCAGTTCAAATCCACCAGCTGCTCCTCAGAAACCCTATGGGGCAGTTCTACTTTGTCCTATAGGGTCACTATGAGTTGGAATCACTTGACTTGATGCAACAGATTTGTTTTTTGTTTTTGGTTTTGTTTTTGTTTTTCTTTATTGTGAGTAATAAGGCAAGAAGTGGGACAGAGGGTATGTGAGGTGGTGGTCATCAAGTGAAGGAAGTAGGAAAAGAATATTTTGTAACACATCATAATTTTGAGAGGTCATCACAAGAAATAGCAATAACAACCATGACTGAGATTTCCTGTGCAATATCACCAAAAGAGCCAGAGAAGAAAACGGGGAGAGAGGACTGACCCTACTCTGTCATTGTGAGTCTTTGTTAGTTCTCCTGAGATATCTTTTCAAGACTTCCCAAAATAACTGGAGGAACAATTGGGGACAGTGGAAGTGGCAGATCTACAGTAGCACAGTACAGGCAATCCAGAAAAACTGATGATACAATTTTTCTTTCCTTTGACT